TATTTTTCAGCTCCATTAATTCACTTATATTCCTCTCTAAATTGTGTGTTATTGTTAACATTTCGTCAAACCATTTTTCAAAGTTCTTAGTTTCTTCGCATTGAGTTAGAACAAGTTCTTTTAATTCCCAGAAGTTTCTTATCATCCACTTTTTAAAGCCTGCTTCTGCTAATGGAACAGTCTTTCTCCATCGGGCCTTGTTCTGTTGCTGATGAGGAACTGTGATCCCCTGTAGAGGGAGAAGCATTCTGATTTTGGGTATTCTCAGCCTTTTTAGGCTGGTTTCTTCCCTTCGTTATAAATTTACCCATCTGTGGTCTTTATAATTACCGTCTTTATAGTTGGGTTTCTGAATGGACGTCCAACTTGTTGATTCCCGGCGCTAAAATACGAGCAACCCACTGCACCGGCCAAAACAGCGGCTTTAAGATTGATGGTGCTTTTCTGACTCTGCACCGAGAACCGCCGCTCCAAGGCAGCAGCAAAACCGCCTCGCTGGCCACAAGAGTCGCGCTGGAGACCTGTGGGGCCCCTCCGCTGGGAATCTTCTGGTGCGTGAGCAACAAAAATTGATCTGAAAGTGTGGTGTCCTCTCGTTCTCTGCACTTTCAGTGGGAGCTGCAATCCTGAGCTGCTAGTGATCAGCCATCTTGGATCTCTCTCCCCTGATCTCTATCATTAGTTGTATAAACTATGACATTCTTGCCATTTTATAAAAGTGGAAATTAAGTTATGGAAGAATGGCATCATTTCCTCTAGGCTAGTCAGTAGAATAGTGGAAAGCCAGAACTAGAAAGGCCTCCCAGAGTTCAAGCCCAATGCTCAATCTAAGCTCTTTTATAAACAACAGAATTAAGATAGCTGAAGAGCAAACTTCAGAATTTAAGAATGTAAAAGTAAAAAGTTCCTGAAGAGAAAAATCTTTTCTAGTAATATTCAAGAAGAAAATGCAGACTTCTTAGCTTACTTTTTCTCCAAATTTTTACTGCTCTACTCTGTAAATTCCTATGAACATTAATAAGCGGCTATGGTTGAGGGAAAATGTTCCACAGTAGAGAAAGGAAAACACATCCAGTTTTTCACATGAAACTGGAATAATTATGTATACATCCTATGAAAAAATTGAGAATAATCCTTTCAGCATGGCTAAAATTAGGAGAATAGTTAGCAAAACAACAAGGACACCACAAAACAGTGTCAACCGCCCTCCAATCTAATTCTTACATATAAAATCAAAATCCCAAATAAACTATTAAAGACAGTTGCAATTTCATTTGATGACGGAATACTTCTCTTACCATGAACAATTTCAAACTGGACAAAAAGAAAAGGTGAATAAGGATTTTGAAAGCGAAAAAGATGCCACTAATCAGGGACCAGAGAACTGCTCAAATGCCAATCAAAATATTGTCGTTCAGTTCAGGAGACACTGTCAGAGATGGTTAGGAGACTCAAAATGCACAAGAAAATGCTTGGGCACTTTCAGTGAAATGACATAATTGGATGTGTGATATTTCAAGTAACTTCCCCTGAAGACATAACCATTTGCTTCCAACACTACTTACAAACTCATAGTCTCCATCCTGTGGTACTTTCCAATCTGAAGAATTTTGCAGTGGACCAGGTACACTCTTGCCAAAGCTGTTGATCTGGTTTTCCTTTTCTTTTTGTTCAAAATATTCAAGAAAAGATGGTTTGGCAGGCTGCATTGTCTCATCCCTTCCTGAAAACCAAGAAAAATGAAAAATGAAAAGAAACACTGTAATATTTTAGATAAGTTTAATAAATAAATCTGTCTTCTCCGGATCAGTGGATATTTCTGTTAGATAAAGGACTCCTTGAAGAATCTAGTGAAACTACAGAACAATGTATAACTGCTTGCTCAAAAAATTCTCATGGAATTTCAGAGGAGTTAAGATCCCCCTAAAATACATTCAGAAATTTCTCTGGGGTCCCTTTTTCTAGATGGAAAGATTTGGGTGATACAATGAATCTGATAATCTGCAAATAATACATTTGGGGTCTCCTATATCAAATAGCTCCTGTAATACTTAGAATGAAAAGAGAAGTAAGCAAAAATATTTATTTAGCATCTATCATACACAATATTCTCTACAGGTACTAAAGTAGGAAGAGGGAATGATACAGCAGGGTGACTTTCCTTGATAATCTTATTATCTAATTGGAATAATGAGAAAAATATACATGAAAAAGAAAACAAATCACGATTCATCTACTCTATGAAATACCATTTAACTTTTAAAATACTATCTACATGTGGAGAAAAAAAGAAAAAGCCACCTTGAAGTGTTCTCACTGGTAAATTTTGGGACACTTTGAGCATCAAAAAGAATGCACTCAGTAAGAGATCAGAGCAATAATCCAAAAGTGAAGGAAGTTTGGGAGAGACGGGAAAACTCTTCTTAGAAAAATTACCATTGATGCTGGGCACAGTGGCTCACATCTGTAATCCCAGCACTTTGGGAGGCCAAAAGAGAAGGGTCCCTTGAGCTCAGGAATTCGAGACCAGCCTGGGCAGACACCTCAACTCTACCAAAAATAAAAAGAATCAGCCAGGCATGGTGGTACATGTCTGTAGTCCCAGTTACTTGGGAGGCTGGGAGGATTGCTTGAGCCCGGGAGGTCAAGGCTGCAGGGAGCCACGATCATGCAACTGCACTCCAGCCTGGAAGATGGAGTAAAACAGTGTCTCAAGAAATAAAAAAAATCACTCTGACCACTTTACTGTGGTAACAAAAAAGAGCATCTCCTTTTTAGGAAATACAAACAAAAGAGGATATCTTCTTTCTTAGGAAATACACACTTAAAATTTGACAGTAAGCTGCGTATATCATGCAACAACCTCTCTCTTCTCATTATTTCTGTCCTTTCATGTCTGTTTATCTATCCATCCATTCAACTTTATATATGCACAGAGAGATGACTAAATTGAGTTCATCAATAAAAATGGCGACTTCTGGACAGAAGTAACAGGTAATTTAAAACTTTTTCTCCAATGGAATTGTTACAAAAACCATAAGGACATCATTCTTTTTTAAAAAAAGTATGATATCCAACAATAAAACAATAGACTTCTATAGTTCTTCATTAATTCCTTTCAGCTGCAATACAGGTGGACTTAAGAAATTAAATCTTTAAACCAGGGATGATGAAACACTAAAGATAACATTCCTATGGTCTAATTCTAAGCCATATCATAAAAATCAAAGAAATGTCTGTTAAGCGAGAATATAATCATTTGTCTAACTTCTATCACTGTTCAGATGAAAAAGTGAGAACATCTGCTTTCCTCATATTTGAGTTCTTCTTTCTTACCAACCCTCTTTGAAATTTTTAATTTTTGGAGTTAAAACACCAACTGTTCTTTGTCTCTTTCAACAATGAAAATCCACAAATAAGAAAGTCTATCTAAAATGTATTTGCTTTTACCTTCTGATATCAATACCAGGGACCTGATTACACTTGACATTTATTAGAATTCGAAGTTCCAAAAACTATAGTGAATTTTGTAAAAAAAAGAAGTTTTTTATCTAATCATATATTCAGATATAAGCTGCAAATAAAAGGCACATATGTATTAGAAACTTAATTATAGCAAAACGATTAGTTAAAATGTTACATTTATCAGATTGCCAAAAAGCTGAAGTTGATTTTGGAGATAAAAGAATGGAAAAATTCCTCTTCTTAAATTTTATGTTACGTATATTTCACCACAATAAAAAAATTGGAAAGTAAATCCCTATCCTGTAGTTCAAATATTTAGATTCTGGTTCTGATTATATGATCTTGGTAAAACCACAGGTTACCAATCTGCAAAAAGAGGACACAGGACCAGATTATATCGTAAGCTCTCTGCAGCTTTGAAAATTCCATGATTTTATGACTTGGCAGTAGCATATGAAAACATATTTATGCTCAATTATTAATAACTATTCAAAAGAAGAAGTTCTTATCTCTAGTAGGATTATGATACTGGATGCCTCTAATCTCAAACATGCTACAACTAGATGTGTACGGGCATAAAGCAAAAACCAAGCTGAAAAATTGTTAAGACTCAACAAATATTTTAGTGACAAGAATATCTCCGATTCTTTGGATTTTTTGTTGCTGGTGTTTTAACAGATGGAAGAGGTGACTCAAACTGTAATAAAGATATCATCTAGAGATGTAGATGATAATAACATTTTACAGAACTAAAGTGAAAAATCAAACTGACTGATAGAGGAAGCCACCTTAGCTGCAAGAAACAGCAGACATTCAAAAATAGTTAGTGATTCTTGTTTTAGTGATTCCAAAAATTAAATGCCTCCACCATAATGGTTATTTCTTTATGTGTGAGAATGCTTCACTGGCATACTGAGTTTATATGAAGGAGACAGCATTCCTACTGTGACCAATATTTTCTTAGTAATGCTGTCATTAAATTGCAGCACTTGTTCTAAATCTGATTTTATAGACTGATAATAATTCTCAGTAAACAGATTTGCATTCCTATCATAATTGGTATCTAAGATAAATTGTTTTTTAAAATGACCACAACATATCCTCCTGGTATCTTCGTCCTTACCTTATGTCCTCTCACAATGACTCTGGACCTGGCTATCTAACTTGCTTTGGTCATTGAGACAATAGCAAATGTATGGCAAGAAGGGACTTAAAAGTTCTTGTGTAGGCTGGGCATGGCGGCTCATGCTTATAATCCCAGCACTTTGGAGGCCAAGGTGGGAGGACTGCTTAAGCCCAGGAGTTCAAGACCAGCCTGAGCAATAAAGCAAGACCTGGTCTCTACAAATAATAATTTTTTTAAAAAAATTAACCAGGTGTGGTGGCATGCACCTGTGGTCTCAAATATTTGGGAGGCTGAGGCAGGAGGATCACTTGAGCCCAGGAGGTCAAGGTTGCAGTTAGTTATGATCACACAGCTGCCCTCCAGTCTGGGTAACAAAGCAAGACCCTGTCTCAAAAAGAAAAAAACTTCTTGTACATTTTACTATAATGTAAATAAACCTGATTGAGCCAGCTAGATGGTGAAATACTATGTGAAGAGGCCCAAGTCAACAAATGTCTCAAGAAATAAATCAGCCATCCCCAGCTGTTATTGCATCAGCTGACCACAGAGCAGAGCTAATCGGCCCAGACCAGAAATGCCTGCCTACCTGAGTTTAACCTAATTGCCAACCTACAGAATCATGAAACAAGTTAAATAAAATGGCTAATTTAAGCCACCCAACTTTAGGGTGGTTTGATATGCACCAAAACCTAACTGATAGTTTCAGTTTCTCACACACAAACACATACACACACACACACACACACACACACACACACACACACACACACACACACAAACATACACCCCTAAATCTACAAAAAGAGTTCTATTCTTTGGAAACCTAGGTTCGAATTCAACTAACATTTGCTAAATACCTTCCAAATTTCAGGCTTTCTGCTAGGTGCTTTCACATGATGGTCTCATCCAAACTGCATGACCACCATATAAAGCAGAAGAGGGAAAAAGCCTTACACTTACTAGGCATCTACCAAGCGCCAGAAAATGTACTATATCACTTAATCCTCAAAGAATCTTTTAAGACATGTGTTATTTTGCTCCTTTTCAAAATGAGAAATTCGCAGGAGATTTCAAAGCTAGTAACCAACAAGGATGGGGTTTGAATGCCAAATGTCAGGTTTTAAGTTTAGTGAGCTACATCTCATACTGTACAGTCTCTAAAATCAAAATAAAGATTCTTCACATGGTTAGAACTGCCATTAAGCTAAGTGCAGAAAGAGTGGGGAAATGTAATTTTTCCAGTAACCTTATCTTTAAACTTTTCTTTCAGCACCCTTTAGCTAGACAGATGATCAAGTGTGTTGGACAGCAGCCTGTTAGGTTGAAAACCATGAGAGAATCATCCAAGCTGATTAAAGGCCATGCTGTCCCCCAGGGCTTCAGCTGGCTGATGGGTTTTTGTTTTAACTTGAGCTAGTGTATTTTTCAGATGCATCCCAAGAAATAAAAATGTTCAATTCAATGATAACACAAGAAACCTAAAGCTATAGGAAGAATGGACCGAACAGACAAATGAAGCCTGAAAATAGCCACATCTTGCTCTGCTTCCTTTATCTGATGGAAGAAATGCATGAATTCTTACACTAAGACTGGCCTATTTTTCTTTGTAAGCAGCATTTGTCAAACTAAATGAACAATCTATCTAAGCCTACAGACAAAGAAGTGAATTCATAAGTGACTATTTTCCGATTATTTTTCTTTGAAAAATGCTACATAAAAGCAGAAGGAACCAAAAAACCCAAATGTTCATCAGCTGCTGAACAGATAAACAAAATGCAGTACACACATGCAGTGGAATATTATTCAGCAACAAAAAGAAATATTGATACATGCTATATAACATGGATAAACCTCAAAAATATTATGCAAAATGAAAGCCATTCACAAAAGGCCATATATTATATTATTCCATTTACATAAAATGTCCAAAAAAGGCAAATCTATAGAGACAGAAAGTAGATTAATGGTTGCCTGGGGGTGAGAGGAGAATGAGAAGTGACTACTAACAGGATTAAAGTTTTTTGAGGGGATGATAAAAATGTCTGGAATTTAATAGTGCTTAAAGTTACCACACCTTGTTAGCATCCCCAAAAATCACCGAATTCTATGCTTTAAAATGGCAAATTTTATGA